ATGAACATGCATGTGTGGAAGGCGGCGGCAGCGGAGTTCGGTGATTACAAAAACTTTTACCGCTCCGAATACGATTCGTTCGTCTCCGAAGAAAAGGCAACAAAATTGTAAATTCGGCTGTTAAACGAATTAGGTTTTATTCCGTTTTATTCCTACTGTTCGTACTTTCTTCTCTGTTGCTTGGAAAACGACGTTCGATAGAAGTTCAAGCAGTTTGAATCGAGCTGTGGTCGATATGTTTGACGAGAGTACAAGATGGCGTGTGTAGAACTCATACACGCAGCTAATGCGACCGAGTTATCACCGCTCATTTGTGATATGCGTGACAAAATATTGTTCTGATAAGAATCAAATGTGGCGCTTCCTTGTTTGAAAATGTTCGATTAGGAGTGGGGCTGGGAAATCGAAACAGAGAGAAAGAGAGAGTGAAAAAAAACATTTATTTGATAAACAAATCACCCGTCTTAATAATGTTGTCTAATTTGCATGAGATTTGTACGCATTCTAATTGCTTTGGGGAGTGTGTATAGCAGTCTGGTTGACGAGAAAAGCGCCACAACATTTCCATAAGCTTTGATTTCTGTGTGGCCAAGGTTCAATGAATGTAACACTTCATTTAACTGCAAAATCTGTGCCAATTTATTATGCAATGTTAAATAAAGTCGATAAATTTGAGCACCGTTTTTATTTCTAGCTCTTTCCATTCCACCACGGAAAGTACTTTATGCCCGCTTAGCATGCTGCGGATGATTGAAGAACGTGTTATCTGTCTGAATGTCAAGCATGTCATGCTGACAATTTACAATTAATTTATAACATAAGTTCTAGCGATTACTCCACCACGCGCGTTCTCGCTTTCGTTCCTTTTGCAAGGCTAAACCCATAAATATCATCCGAAAGCGGTTGCACATATTACGTGTGGGTTAACTGAGAGAAGATTTATTTGAAGAAAAAAAAAAGTTTGCGCGCAGGAACAAAAAATGGAGAAAAGGATACCAGCAATGTGTGTAAATCGTAAGACAATTTATTTATTCATTTTTCTACACGTACGTCCTTTTGCACACAAGCCAACGTGCTACTGTATCTCTGTCTCCCCGACACAATGCCAGAATGCAAAATCGCAACCGATTATCTGCAATCTGCACTAGTCGATTAGTACACGACTGTTTTCTTTCTTGTTTCGACCATCTGGTTCGTTTTTCATTTGATAGAGAGATGGATTGTGGGTGTGTAATGTGAATGTGTGGAGAAAAAAGCGCACTGAACATGACAAACAAACATGCATACGGTTTTTTTTTCTCTTGCTCCAGCTTTTGAGCTTAAAACACTCTTTTTTATTCGCCAACATCATCTTTATCTTGAAAAATGAGAGCAAAAACATAGACACATAGAGAGATACTGTTTTTCTCGCCCGAAACCGGAAAAAAAGTTCCACTGTTATACGCTTTTTTCGATGAAGAATTATTGAGAAACATTGTGATTTTATCCTTGGGCAAATAATACTCAGCACGATGTATTTCGTATGCTTATTTAAGCATTCATACGTTAATATATGTTATCGTTGATGCGACGTCTTACGTGTGTGTCAAGAACGATGACGATGACGACGCGGGCAAAGAGATGATGGAAAGATGAAAAGGAATAAAGTAGACCGAGGGAGGGAGAGAAAACGAAAACAGAGAAAGAACAAGATGTTTAGATGTTTGTCAAATCTGTGCAGAAGAAAGATGAACTACCCCAGATTGTGAGTGCGTTGTACGATGCAGAGTGCACGTACCAGGTTTTTGCTCTTTATGCAGAATGAAAATATATGTATGTATAAATTTAACACCATTGAAGCAACTGCACAATAAATGTAAACGAAACGTATACATCTGTGGATGTCGAGCGTTGTGCTCGGAAAGGGAAATTTACTATTTAAAAAAGAGAATTTGCTATTAAGAAGAGAATACACTCAGAAGTGATTTCATTTCGACGAGCAAAGCTAAGTGAAGCCAGCAACAGAGGGAAAGAATTTTACTTCCTCAATTTGTGCATGCAAGCATTGCATTGCATGGCTTTTTCTTCATTCGTGCATTTAAAGAGAACAATGGCAAAAACTTTGCCGCATGTCATCCACACACACACATGCACATAATTCTTATCAAACTACCAGCGCTTTCTTTTAGCTTTGACTCGTTTTTGTATCGCTATAAACCGTGAAATCTATGCACTTTTCATTGAGAGAATAAAAAAAAACGGTTGAAAATGAAATCTCCACATTATTATCGCTTACAATGGAAAATAATTTAATCCGTTGCAAGAACAACAAAATTGCGGGTTGCCACAACGTCAATGGCTGAACGTTAAAGTTCGACAATACCGAAATCTATTTATATTGTGTGTTACAACATATGATCCGGAATGATGGTTTCTGTTTTCTCTCTCTTTTTTTCGTTGCATTTTATGCCGATAACATAATGGATTAGATTCATGTGAGCATGTTACAAATAAATGGCTTGGTAAACATTCATCGTGACAGAAAAATTACGATCGAAAATAACGATACGAATCTCATGACGGACTGAAACCGAAAGCTTCAAAAACCATCGAACTGCGTGACAATTTACCGCGATAGAATAACAAAATACTTTGTCAAATGAAATCACATACCAAGTGGGCGCGTGTGGGAGAGGGAAAAAGGGAGAACATACACGCAACCACGTTGAAAAGAAGCATGAAAATTGAGTACGAGTGAAAGAAAATGGTGTGTGACAGCCGTCTGGTTCACATAAAATTGGAATAAAATCAAAATAAAATTGCGACGTTGTCATTGCGCGTTACAGTGTTCGATTTCAAAGTCCATCTGCAAAGCAGTAATGACGGTTGAGAATGTGATGAGCACAGATATAAGCTTAATGTAAACCAATCTCTTTTTCCGGTTGTTGGTGCTGTTGTCAAAGCTTTGCAAGCCCATCAGAATCCCTTTTGCACATAAAAACCGTTCGCATTCGTATATTTTCACTAATGACGATTCAAACTGTCTGCTGAAACGAATTGTGATATCGTCGTCGTTGAGCATGTGTGAAAAACGAACACACGAACACACTCTTTTCCAATATCGTTGGTTCATTGGACTTTGAAGAATTGATAAAAAGGGAGCGGACATCGTTTCCTAATGAAAGCGAATTATTTTTCTTTTCCAATGGAAAAAAAAGACATGAAATCCATTGCCATGCTCTATATAGTAAAAACAACGTATGGGCTAGACGTTTATGTTTGTTTTTCTCCATTTCACCTCAAACTAGTAATTTTCATGTATCATGCTGTGTTTTCGGACCCCATTATGGCCAGAGGAAAAAAAAGCCTAAAGTATTTTATGATTTTATATAAATATTTAATTTTGGAATATAAAAAAAAGAGAATCACATGCATTCAAGACATGTAGACGCATTTTGGCACATACAAAAAGTCACTTATCTCATTACTTATGGACGTATATGCTTTCGAAATACGGCACGCCAACCGTAAGCAAGAGACAGAGTTGGCGATAGAGAGAGACACACACACACAGAGAGAGAGAGCGAGAGCGAGAGCGACAGAGAAAAAAGCGTTCTTTGCAATTCTAATGGGAGTTCATTATATAAGTGTTAGACAACTACGTGCGTGGTTCGCCACAAATCATTCTCTCTGGTTCGGTTCAATTGCTTATTTTACCTCTCTCTCTCTCTCTCTCTCTCTCTCCCTCCCTCTCTCTCTCTCTCTCTCTCTCTCTCTCTCTCTCTCTCTCTCTCTCTGTATGTGTGTGTGTTTGATCAAAGGTAGCATTTTGCAGGAGAAACTTGAAAACGAGCAAAAAATGCACCAAAGTGAACGTGCGGCTACCGTTTTTACGATCAACGAAAAATTTCATTTGCATGAATATTTAATTGAATGGCTCATAAGTTATTCACCGCAAAGCAACATCGACTCTGCGTTTTCATCATCAAACCGATGAATATTCATTTATCACTATCTTGAGTTTTGTTGTTGGTGGTGGTGGTGTTGCTTTCTTTGTGTGTGTGGGAACATTTTTTTTTGCTCTAACACTCGACATGTCGATTTTTTTTTCATCTACTTCGGGTGCAATCAATAAATCGAACACTCAGACGAATGACAGTTTACCGAAGAGCGACGAAAAAAAAACATCAAGCAAATAATATTGAATATTCATTTCATTCTTTGTAAAAGTAGAAGAAAAAAATCAATTAATCGTTGTTGAATGACATTGCGATTTTCGAACTTTTCTCTTCAACACAAATTTTCTTCCAAACGATTTTGCAATTGAACAAGAGAGAAGAAAAATAAGAGCTCAAGTGTTTCAAAGCACGTTTGAGTTTCCATTGCGATTGAATTGGTATTTTTTTTCTCGCATCTGGTGTTACAATAACTGTCGCCTCATCTTATGAAATCTAGTAGAAAATCCATATTTCAATCACATAAATTTCAACGAATTGCTGCACGAGCGGAAAAGTGCTCGAATTCCAGAGCCGGTGATAAAGAAGAAGAAAACGAGAAACGGGTCGTTGCTTCTACATCGTTCTGTTGATTGCAGTTTTTCATTTAATTGAAACGAAAATCTATTTTGAAGCAGTTAAAAGCCTTTTAAAAGTAACCAAAATTCATTGTAATGTGATTTATAATAGAATCGCAATTTTCGTTATGGGAGCATTCTTTTCTCGTTGTGCTCAAGCAGAACAGACAAGAAAAAGAGAGCAAAAATTCTTTAACGACATGAAATATATGGTGGAACGCAGCAAATGGGATTTAAAAAGGAATTGAATGGTATTTGAAAAAGAAGTTGAAATGGGATGGTTATTTATTGTGATACTGCTCATTAGACGTTGAAGAAATTACAAGTTCATTCAATTAAAAAAAGGGGGCCGGCTAAATGATGCTTCAGCACGAGAAATAATGCAAATCAAGTGAAAGAGGAAGAGAGAGTTTCTCTAGCATTCGATTCGCTTTGGTCCTTAAATTACCTGCATAAATTGCTTAATGTACTGGTTGCCGTGCTCCTTTAGAAACAGCAACATGGTATCCATCACATCGGAACTAATGTGATTTTTTGCAGTGGCTGTTGAATTCGAAGTGGTGGCGACATCATTCAATTGAAAATCGTTTTGCTCGATAAAGCCATTTGTCTGCGAGGACGATTGTGATTCGTGAGGCAGCAATAGCATCGATAACGACGACGATGAGGAGGAAAGTGGTGGTGGCGGCGGTGGAGGAGGCGACAATGGCATTGCTGCGAAATCATTCCAGGCGTTCGCACAGTTTGATATGCTTAATGTGGATGATGTCAAACACTTGTCCGTCGATTTAAATGCCATACAAACATCGCTTTGGTCATTATTGTTAAATGCGGATGAAATTAATGGCGCCGCAATGCCAACGGAATTTTTTTGTCTTTCGGAGAATAATTGTGAGTCGGATCCAGTGATGACGATTGGTGATTTGGTCGAGGTCGTTGTAATCGTTTGTGTTTCAGAAGGGGCTGCGGCGTCAATACCACCCAAGCTTGGTGACATCGCAATTAATTGCAAAAATGGGTTACGATTTGGTGAATCCATTTCATGTGCAAAGGCAATTGCGGCGGCAAAAGACGACGATGACACCGACACTTGACTCTTTGGCACGAACAATGAACACGACGAATTCCATCGATTGAAGCGAAATAAATTCGAACGCTCATCATCGTCCGATTCTTCGAGGATATCGTACATTTCATATGATTTTGGTATAAAACAATTCTGATTGAATGAGCTCAGTGTTGTGATACTGTGTGTCATTTTATTCGCACTTTCACTTGTGGTGTATGATACTGTGGCGGTTGCACCAATCTTCCCACCATTATCATCATCGTCGTCGTCGTCGTCGTCGTCGTCATCCCCACCGCGGTCGTCGTCGCTGTCGTCGTACTTATCACCATTCGATATGTTTGGTTGATCAATTTTAATTGGAGCGTTATTGTTACTACAGACATTCGAACTATCGCTATTCATAAAATTCACGCAACAACTACTGCTACTATAATTATTATTTGGACCATCGGCTGCCGCTGATTCGATGCTATCATCGAGCGCGTCCGCTCCACCAGCTGCAATAACATTTTCATTAGTATCCTGCTGCTGTTGGTAATTATCTAAATTTGCCGATTTCATCGGCATCATCACACAATTTGCATAAATATTTTCGACAGTCTTTGAATTCGAGTCCGTGGTGTGCGCGAGCAAATCGACGGCAGAAAATTTGCTACTCGTTGCCATCGTTGCTATTTTGAACGGGTTATCACTGGCATTGTTCATTTGATGCAATTCATCCAAATGGTAATCTAAATTATTATTGCACACAATATTCGCCGAAATATCCACATCGTCGTCCATGCTTAACACATCCGTTTCCAGTGCGTTAGTATTTTTTCGTGAGGCAAAAGCACTCATACCATTATCGTTGATTTGCTTGTAATATTTTTGGTGTATTGATGTTGCTTGATGGCCCACTGATGCAAAAATGTTCATGGGTTTCACTGTGGAATCAGCCGAACCGTTTGATGTGGAAAAATGCTTTGCAGCTGATGATATTTGTGGCATTACATTCATTGATATGGCTTTCATTCGATTATTTGACAATGTAACAGCAGCAGCAGCATTGCCACTTTCTCTTGGATTACGTTCCAACGAATACCGTACGTCGATCAACTCATTATCCATTATATTTTGGATGGATGATGGCTGTGATGTTTTTTCATTCGTACCACTTGGTTCATTGTTGATATTTTCATCCATGTCATTTTTTGTAACGATGCTTGTTATGTGGTTGCCACTCGGAATTGGGGAATTTTTGCTGTAGTCAAGCAAATTCAACGAAATTGAAGATGATTGTGCGATGGCTCTTGTCGATGGTGTTGAAGGTGTCGATGTGGCAGCCGGGTCGTCGTCGTCGTCGACGTTGCCGGTTTGTTTGCTCATTTTTACCGTTTCAAACAGAATATTTGCATTCATCTTATTTTTTGCAGCAGCTGCTGCTGGTGAACGTGCTGGCTGCGCCAATGTATTATTATCTGAAACGTTTTGTGGATTCTGCAATTTAGCATCGGTCGACGTCGTCGTCGTCGTTTGTGGCTTGGTTTTTTGTTGCGAATCAATGTGCTGCTTCGTTGCTGATGTGATCATTGTGTTGGCGATTGAATTTCGAGCATGCGATAAAGATGACGACGGCTTTTGATTGCTAGCTGCTGAAACGGTCACTGTTACAACGGGCATTGATGGTTTATGAGCACCGTTCGCTACTAATGCCTTTGGCACCAGAGCTGTTGTTGCTGTGCAATCGTCGTTGCCTATTTTCTTATAAGATGATAGATTGGCGAGTGCTGAAGAAGCGTTCGTCATTGATATGGGCTGGATTAAAACTGGCGTTGATAAAATATCTCGTTGTTGTTTTTTCGGTGCATTTGATGCATCGTTCCGTTTCTTGATGGATGGAATTGTAAACGATTGCTCGGTTACTTCGGTACTAGATGATGCTGCCGCATGGCAGCTGGCCGGAGACAGTGGCTGTGATTGTGATGCGGAACCACTTCCGAAAGTCGATTGCACGAAATTTGTTGAATTTTTTAACAATTTCGTAAAGTTACTCGTATTAAATGATAGCAAGCCTTTGGACGATGACGATGATGATGCAGCAGCAGCATTTGCGTCGTCCGCTGCCTTACCGCCTCCTCGCGTAGATTTCGTTTTTTGGTTGAACATAATTTTAGCATTTTCTCTCTTACCACTTATAAATCATTCGAAAATACCCGAAATTATTTCAAATTACATTGTGTTCGTCGTTGCAATATCGTTGTTGCACATTCCAAGAAGTTCAAGTGCATGGTCGGGATTGCGTTTCTCATTTTTCATGTCTTTTATTTCTATTTTATCAAACACTGTTGCGACTAAATTTATTAGATGCGGAAGTGTTCCATCGTTCTGGCGAAACGAAAGAGCACATCATGAGAATTCGTACACTGGATTACTGCACCACACTATATAGTCCATGAAGAAAATGACCGAGTAATTAGGGTTTAATAAAAATCACTACGTACGACGTAATCCATTATTGTACAATAAATGTAAACAAATACGTAAGTAATAAAATTGAACGGATGCCTTCAGAGTACCATCAGAGTGCGAACCCTCACGCAGACGCTCGTAAAATGGGGGCGTTGATTGAATTATCCAAGTTTGGGGTAACTTGTGTCGTGAGGTTCGCTTTTTTTGCTTTCTTTCTCCCTTTTAATGAAATTATGTTCGCTTAAACTTTTTCCCGCGACGCGAACAAATTTCGGATTTTTTTCTTGAGCAAATTATGGAATAAACTGAAAATATGGAGAGAGAAAAAAGCACGGCAAGCGTGAATTTAGCGCAATTATGATAAGTCGGATCACTGCAATAGGCTACATGGAGCTGGAAAATGTTATCCATTCTCCCAGTTGATGATAAGCCGACAGATGGAAGAAAGATGGGAAAAAAGTGCGCATTTGAACTAATGAAGGTTTTTGTTACGACGAAAATTTATGTTTGCTCAAACGAAATAAATGGAGAGACTTTCCATGTGGCTGCCAGTGTCGTCAGTAAAAGCAGCGAAGGAGAAAAAAGGGACAACGATCAAATTTAGCAAAAATTATGGGTAATTTGATGACTTGTTGTCAACACGTCGGGAACAATGTCGACTTCGGGATGGAAATTTGCAAACGCACTCACATAGACACGCACGCAGACCATCCATGGATTGTCATTGACCCCAGTGGAATTGAAAGATTGATTTTGTTTCGACGGAGGAAATGACACTATTTGACTGCATGCGAAAAGGGAACCATCATTCAAACATCACGACACGAGCAATGCTCGTCCACACCAAATGGCCGATAAAAATAAATGTTCCGAATGCACGTGAAATATATGTGGAAATTGAAAGTTGTTCTCCGTTTTTTTTTCGCCTGGTATCCATCGATTTGAGCAAAATATTTCGTTGCAAATATTCCGCAGGCCGAAAAGGTGTTATTAGTTGAAAACAACCATAGATGTGAAGCAAAGCGTAGAGGGAAATGTATGTATTGTGTATACCAAAGGGAATTTTAAATTAGGTATCGAATTCACAATTTTCGGAAAATGTTTTGCGAAGCATAAACAAGCGCATCATGTGTGTGTGTGTGTGTGTGTGTGTGTGTGTGTGTGTGTGTGTGTGTATGTGTATGTTTTTGGTACTGATGCAAACGCTCGTTCGTCCATTTGCTCTCTCACTTTGTTAATTCAATCAATGTTTTCCCGTTTTTGTTCACATTTATGCACGGCCTTTGTTGTGGAAAAGCACATATCAAAATGTTCACCTACATGTGAAACGGCCAAGCATTCTCTATGTGGCAATTTTAATAATTCCCTGAATCAGTATGATGGTTTTTGACCAAATTCTTCACGTGTGTGGTTTTCTCTCCGTTCAACATAAATTCAAGTTATGGTTTTGCTTCAAACTTGATGGCATAAAACTTTGGTGCACCGTTTCAAATGTGTTTGACGGGTTTTATTTTATTTTCATAGCCGCATTAAAGCATGATTATCCAGGATATGTGTGTGATGGGTTTTTTTTTCAATTTTGCACAACACGTTTGCTTTTTCGCAACACAATCAGGTCAACCAGACTAATCGAATTAGAAACGGGTTCGTGACTCTTCTTCAATTCACGCAATTTTTCATTGAGATTACAATCAACACACAATTCACACTCACACACATTAAACTGGCCACTGTTCACATTAAAGCAAATGTTATTATTATTATGCTGCTGCTACGATGCTGCTGCTGTCGCTGCAAATACGGAATTTATGCACCGAGCACACTCATACACGGTCGTGCTGTAATCAATCGATGAATCGAAATGGGGGCGGTACTGGCATTTAAATCAATTACTTATTGGCCATTTCATCAAAATCATCATATTGATTTCGTATGTTCACAATTTATGTACACACAATTTCGTTCTGAGCTTGCCTATTTCCACTCGCCCAAGCAAATATATTGAAATTTTCATCAGTCAAGAGATTATTAAATTTATTCATAAAATCTATCAAAAATGGATTTCCGTTGGACGTATGTCAGATATGTTCATCTCGTTGTTGTACAGAATTCCGATCTTTGTAATTTGCGAAACTTTTTCCGTTGTTATTCAAAGCCATGCATGTATTCATGGATGCTATTGATGAAGTGGGACTTGGGTCACTTGGTGTTGTTTACGTAATCCAGTTGCTTTCAGTTTGATGTTGATTGACTTGTCATTTAACAAGGTTTTCCGAGTGATCCCGTTGAAAATGCGACATTTTCTTTTAAATGCCAATTTTATTCAAATCGCAGCACTTTTGTTTGGCAACAAACAAAGTTACACCCATTGTTTAAATATGGAACAGTCAGTTTTTTTTTCATTTTATTAATCACCGATCAATTTTGACGATCAACTCTTCTTAACTTCTTTTCCATCGAATTTTACATCCGAAAAACGAAAAAAAAAATCTTAATTAAAATGGACGTATATTTCTTTGATGTTACACGCTTTTTTAAAACACTAAGCCACTAGAACAAAAAAAAAATCGGTTGTCAACATTCAATGGTTCTTCACGTTTGAAACACTTGCATATTCGCGTTACGTGCGATAAAATAGAAAATGGAAAAACAACAAGGGAAATAAAGGCCGCACTCTCGATTGAATCCCTTCGACATTCACTTGAAGACTGACAAATACAATGCATTTCAGCCGGAAAGTATGCTATCTTCACTTTCCCTATTCTCAGCTTTTTCGTTCGGCACGCTCTCTCACTCGCTCGCTCTCTTTGTGTTGCGCGCGACTGCGTACAAACGCAACGCATATCCAAGACCATGCCGAAGCTTTCTCTCTGGCGCTTTTACCACATTCTTCGGCTTCGACAGTTTTTTTTTTCTCTCTACTGCTCGTTATTCGTTCAAATCAACTGCGAACGGCGAGGATAACAGCAAAAAAATAAAAGAGAGAAGAGAAACATACAAACGACCGACACACACCAACCGTAATAGTATTATTGTGTTTGTGTGCCGAACCCTGAAATGCATTCTAACAGGCTTTTCTGATGATAAGCAAACAAATAAAATGGATTCGCGTCTTTTCTTCGCTTTGCTCGCTCGTTTTTTTTTGTTCTTGCTTCACATTGCCACGCATATAAGACGGTTGTTTGGATCGTATTTTATTTAGTTTTATTTGATTCTTTATTTGCGAAGCAGCTTTTCGTATGCTCAACGTTTTAAAAGAAGCTATGCTATTTATCTTTCTCGTTCCAAATTGAGGAATTATATTGTGAAAATGGGAAAGACAAACTGTAGCCCAAGTTAATATCAATAATTCTTTTTCTATTTTAAGATTTTTGCTGGCAATATGTGTATGTGTGTGTGTGCGTTGTACATTTTCAAAGGGACGATGGTGCTATTTTTGCCAAAAGCAACGATATTCTCAGAAACGAATAACAGTTCAAAGGATAAAGGCCACATGGAAATATGAGTAAGAAATTTTCGTTGGAATAAAAGAGGAAATTTTTCCAATTATTCATTATTTGCGAGAAATCGAGATGTACGGCATGGCCAAATCAACTTTAGATAGCGGTAAACCGCACCGGATAGTTTCAAGTCAGACAAAGTAAAATCAATTTACCACCAGAGAGATTGAAAGCTGAGAGAACTCATTTCATGAAGAGAAGAGAGAAAGAGAAAGAAAAATTGGCCGTATTTGCACACCGTAGAGAAGTGAGCTCAACATGCGAAAGACAAATTTCCTCGTTCAAATGTCAACAGCTTCTTGTGAAAATTATTTCTTCTTTCTTATTCTTGCTCCTTTGTCTGTCCTTTCTGCCGACCGGGCACACCGTGTGCTCTCATCATTTCTCTGCTTTTTTTTCTAACAAAATCATCTTCTCCTTCGTCCGCATAGACAATTTCACGTTTTGCCGCTTTTGTTTCAATGGCTGTAAAATTCATTTTTATAGATCGTATGCAACGATTCGGTTGAACTATATATGTGTGTGTGTTTGTGCCTGTGTACATATCATTTTCCGCTGTGTGTCAGCCAGACAAAATGCTCGAATGAGCTTCAAACAAATGGTGCTAACGCTGTTAGGTATGCTTGAGTTGAATATGCCGTGATAAAACAACAACATGAAATAGAAAAAAAAGTGACTCGAAGAGCTCACAAACATATGAAAAAAAGGGCGACACGATAGATTGTTCTCCATTGTCTAAATGTGGCAAGAGATTTTTCTATTAGTACTTCAGTGGCAAAGGTGAATCGTCTCTTCGGGCTACTAAACAATTTCTTTTTCTCTCTCTCGCCATCTCCATCTTGTTCTCATTCTGTACCTCTCTATTATCGTTAACACAATATTCGGATGAATGGTGAAGATGCAACACCATGCAGAAAATTCCAAGTGGCTGTAAGCTCTTGTTAAACTTTCGCAATGTTTTCTTTATTTTTTTCGGTATGTCTTTTATGTGACAAAAATAATCAACTTGATTCATAAGACCTTGTTTTTTTTTCTACTTTGTAGGTTGTTTTTCTCCTTTTTCATACTGTCGTCGAGTGAAATGAGCGACGATAGAGGAGCAAAACAAAAAGAAGCTGCACACAATTCAAATATAAAAAGATTACCGTCAATTCCCTGTTGGTATGCCAGCAGTGCTGGTGTTGGCCCAGCACCGAAACACACCACATATGCATGCATTACCACAATCGAATTGATTATGAAGTTTATGAATTTTTGCGTAAATTCAAATTGCAAAGTGTGAGATCGAGTCTGAAAATCCATATCAATTTAATTAAAAAGTTATAATTGGGCTTGCATATAAATTACGTTGGATTCCATACACACACTCCGCATACCATCGACGGATGAATTGAGTGAGAGGTGTCAGTGTGCGAAACAAGTCTCATTATAAAAACATTTCACTTTAATCCTCCTTATTAAATATTACAGTCGGTCTCCCACACCAAGATAATTGAGTCAAAATGAAAAAAAAAACCCGAAGCGAACCGAACCGTAGACAGTCCCGAATTTGTGAGCATCGCGAGCTCATTCATCTATTTTGAGGGGTCATTCGAGTGAATGTTGTAATTGATTTGGTTATATACATTGGTTGAAAATCTCAACATTGAAAACTCATTCGAGCTGTAAGCCGATTTCATTTTGGCACACTAGCCAACTAACGAACTGAGATATGTGCAAAATTGAGCTGCATTGTTCATTTGCAATCGTGCATGTGAAAATGCAAATTAACATTATGTGCCAAGAACTGATCGTCGTGAGTTGAATGGTTTCAGTGTAGCTTTCAAACTATCCCATACACATACACGCAGTGTGTTCAAATTGAAAGTGGCCAAATTTGTAACCACAATATTGCAAATATACCCGTCGA